ACAAACCTCAGGGATCTCTCTCCCACTGCAACTCTCTCGTAATCTCTCCGGCTCCTCTATCCATCTTCTATCCGCCTCCCACTCTCTCCCTATTTATTTCAGAACCCCCTTCTCCTCCCCCATTTCTGATGAAGGGTCTAGGCCCGAAACGTCAGCCTTTCTGCTCCTGTGATGCTGCTTGGCCTGCTGTGTTCATCCAGCTCTGCACCTTGTTGTCTCCGATTCTCCAGCATCTGCAGTTCCTACTGTCTCAGATTTGTAGTACAGTAGTGTTGTCCCTACCTGGAAGGTCTGGGTCCAAGTCCCACCTTTCCCAGAGGTGGGTCATAACAAATTGGTTATAAACGATAGAATAAAGTGATAACTATTTTAATGACGTTAGTTGGAGGATAAATAATGGCCAGGGATCTGGGGAAAGGTGGGCTAATTTATGCCTACCTGAGAGGGCAGGCAGGGGTCTCGGTTTAATAGCTCATCCTCTGAAAAACAGCTTCTCCAACACAGCTGCACTCCCTCAGTGGGAATGCCAGACGCAAGTTGATGAAGCGTCACCAAACTTGAAACATTAACTCTGCTTTCTTCCCACAGATGCTGCCAGACCTGCTGAGTTTCTACAGCAATTTCTGTTTTTGTTTCAGAACTCCAGGATCCACAGCTCTTAGTTCTATTTTAGCCCATATCACATACATGTTCTGAATATTTATATGACTATTTAAAGTTAGAATTCAAATGAAAGGGAAGTTTTATACTGTACACATTATCATTATGACTCATGTTTTGGATTGGGGCTTGAAGCACTCGGTAATTAGATCTTGATTTCTTTAATCCTCTTGATGCACCATTGTTGTCACTTTCAGTCACACTAATTATTTTGCCTGCCACATACCAAGTAAATAACACAGTGTAGAAGCCCAGATGCTGTTAATGGGAATATTTAACTGCTCTTTAAATGGGGTTTAATCATCAATAGAACAGCGTCCATGGAAACGAAACGTGGACATGCTTCGGAGAATAACATGCTGTTTGCCAAGTCACGGAGAAAGTGGAGAGGTTTGAGTATCGATCCAGCAGATTGTCAGCACACTCACAAATGCCACATGTACAGAAATGCACTAGTGCGCACGTGAGGAATAAATTCACAGTTTGAAGGCAGATTTAACAATGGCAGGGTCTGCTGTCGATGTTTTGGTTGAAGTATTAAATTCAGGCCCCCATTCACCCGTTCTGGTTTGTCAGGTGAAGGCTAGACAGGTTGATGTGGCATTATTATAAATACAGCAGGACACACAGGATTTTCTTACACATAAAGTGACGGTTTTCACTGCAATTCAAGATTGTGAGTTGAATCAGCACAACATTGTCTGAATGATTTTTTTCCTGGGAGCGCAGCTACAGATACAGAATTAAATCTTTAATCTCAACAGACCTGATGAAGATTATCCACCATTTTAATTATCCTTGCAGCTAATGTGCCTGACCTGATTTCCATCAATTACTTAACAATGCTGTAACTTTCCTTACAGTAAATGAGTTCATGCTTTCATCATGGGTTCTAATTCTCTCACAAATTGACTACAAGGACAGTACATCAAAAATTAAAACACAGATGGAATGGCCTGCTCCCAACTGGTTGAGGTTCACACAAACCTCCTCTCATCTTACTTTAACTGACTGTATCAGGATAACCTTCATCTCCTACCCAGAGATAGGAAGGCAGCAGAAAAATTTGAACACATGGAAAATTTGAGGTGTCAATAAACTGGAAATCAAAGTATAGCAATGAAAGTATGAGTGAGAGGGACTTAGTGAAAGTGTGGGCTGCTTAGCTTTGGAGGTGGGGGGAAGACACCTGTTTGAAAAACACAGCAGCCAATGTGCACACAGCAAGATCCCAGAAACAGCAATGTGGTTATTACATTGAAACTACAGCATTCAAGTAGGCCTTGTGGCTTTTAATAGATCCATGCAGTGTTTAAGAACAACGTGAGCCTCCTCCCACCACATCATGCTCTTGCAATATATCCTTGGGTTTCTTTCTATCTTGTATAGATATTTAGCTTACTTATAAAGTAATGTACATTGTCCATCTCAACTTCTGGTGGCAAGGATCGGGGGGCAGTGGTGCAGGCTCAATGGCTGAATGGCCTACTTTGCTCTGACATCTTATGGTAGAAGGCATCTGGAGGGGTACGTGAATAGGCGGGGTTTAAGAGGAATATGGACCAAATGCTGGCAAGTGGGACTAGATTTATTTAGGATATCTGGTCGGCATAGACAAGTTGGACCAAGAAGAGTGTATGCTGTACATCTCTATGACACCAATAGCCCTTGATCATCAGATTGACAAGTAGCCCAAAATCTCCCCTCCCCCCACCACATCCCAAAACCAGTCCAGCTCGTCCCTGCCTCCCTAACCTGTTCTTCCTCCCACCTATCCCCTCCTCCCACCTCAAGCCGCACCTCCATCTCCTACCGACCAACCTCATCCCGCCCCCTTGACCTGTCCGTCCTCCCTGGACTGACCTATCCCCTTCCTAACTCCCTACCTACACCCACCTTTACTGGCTCCATCCCCACCTCTTCAACCTGTTTGTTTCCTCTCCACCCTATCCTCTCCTCTATCCCTCTTCTATCCGCCTCCCACTCTCTCCCTATTTATTTCACAACCCCCTTCCCCTCCCCCTTTTCTGATGAAGGGTCTAGGCCCGAAACGTCGGCCTCTCTGCTCCTATGATGCTGCTTGGCCTGCTGTGTTCATCCAGCCCTGCACCTTGTTAGCCCAGTCATAACCTATATTTCCTAGGTAGAATTACAGATGGTACACAGTAGAAGCCATTCAGCCCATTGTGGCTGTGCTGGCCCTTGGAGTTACCCAGCTAGTTCCTCTTCAACAGTGCAACTATTTGCTCCACTCAAACCCTCATTCCTTACCCTTCGAAAAGTTTTAACCCATATCTTATGGTTCACTTATAACTTATGGTACCACCTCTCTTTAAAAGCTGCAACACTCACCAAGATAACAACTTCCCCCTCCTCCCCAATTATCCACCCACGTGGTTTGGTTCGGGGCGTGCCACTAACCGCCGCGCTCTGACGCTCTGCCAATCAGCATCACCTCATCACGTGAACGGACCAATCAGAAAGCGCCTCCCGAACAGCCGAGCGCGTGATCGCAAGTAGGACCGGCCACCGGCCTCACTTCTCACCAGCCGTTTCTGCTTTTCTAAAATAAAAGACAACCCCCCAACAAAAAAATAAATAAAACGCCCACTGCTCGACGTCATAAGTCGAGACTAAAGCAAAATCAGGCGCAAACGCGATGATTTAAAGCGCATTTCGTCCCGCTTGTCTGTGCGCGGTATGGGGGTCTATTTTGTGATGACGTCGCATGGGCGGAGGGAGCGCAGACGTTAGGGGGCGCGGTGAGGCCGAGGCTATTTAAAGGGCAGCTCCGGGCTCGGCGCTTCATTCCACCGCCCGCAGATGATTGAACGAGGGAAGTGTCTCACTCTTTCTCTGAGTCCGATCCGCCCGGGGTTCGGCATGGCGGCTCAATAGACAGGCAGCAGCGGCAGCGACGCATCAGTGCACTGCACTGGGCAACAACAGCACGCACCAGCTTCAAAAATGGCGTAAGTTACCTTTTTCACGCCCTGGCCCAATCAAAAAAAAACCCAGAAGACCCCGCCTTTTTAGTACACAGGGTCCCACCATTTTACCCCCTTCTGCCTCGTGGTCCGAAGAGGCCTCTGTGGGCGTTGGGGGTTTCAATAAAATCGGTTACGCCTGAACAGTTCGTGACCAAACGCAGTACAATCCGCTTAAAATATAAATGCAGACAACCCTGATCGTGTTTTGTTGGATATTTTCCGTACATTAATCGGAAGGGTCGATTTTTTTTTTTCCCTGGAGGTCAATGGACTCGTAACTCGAAATATGTTCCTTAATCTTTTACGCCCCGGTTTTGAAATACTTCATTTTTGGACCTTTTTGGTGGTGGTCGGCAAAGATGTCTCCAGGCATGTTTTGGGTTGTTCAGTCGATGGGCAAGGCCCTTTCATGTCTGGAATAGTTAACCCCCCCGGCGCTATATTTCTCTCCATTTCCCTCCTCTGATAAATGTTATATCCCCTGGGGCTGGGGTAGATGAGATGTTTAGGTGTTCTCATAACCTGGAGCCTGTGGGTTGTTTGTGACTGGGTGAAGATGGCGGCTCGTCTTCACGCTTAAACGTGGCAGAGTCATGAAGGAGACACCCAGTTGCTCTTGTCCTTCCTCCATCTGTTCCAGGGTGTGGTTTGAAGATCCTAGTTAACTCTTTAATGGGACACCCAGTGCCCCATCGACGTCTTTCTCACCAGGCTTTCAAATTACGCATCTGTCCCTTTCTAAGCTCCCTCCTACAGTTTTCTTTACCATTCAGTAGTAATTTGATGTGTTGGCACTTATAATTCCACACTTGTGACTGCTGGCAATTTGTCCACTGAGTCTCAACCTTTCTTCCTTCCACTCCCCCAATATGTTCTGTACAATCATTTGGGTTGTCTGAAATTGAATTCAAATGTCTTGTGTTGATGTGCAAATGTGAAGTCTTTTGGTGTGCAGTTTTTCTTGAATGCTGCCATGCCAGAGTTAAATGCATGGAAAATGAATGATATTCTGTTTTATTCCCAGGCTCCACAATGGGCTTCTCAGCTTTGCTGTAGTCGACAGCATAGTAACACTCGACTTGAAGACTTTGTTTTTCCTTGAAGAGTATCTCAGTTCAAAAATACAGTCAGATGACTTCAGATTGGCCAGATTCTTTCTCTTCCCTGATGGAGGACTTCATGATGTCCCCGAGTTCGCCGTTTCTGACGGCTGAAGGGGACCCGTGTCTCCTGCACACAGACCTGGCGGAGGCCGGGCCGGTGAAATCGTACCTCAGACCACTCCTGTTTGGTGGCAATGAGGAAAGCGATGTGTCCTCCCTGATCACTCGTGACACGTTACTGGACACCGACGATACTGTGGGTAAGTTAAGAACTATCTATTGTGATGCTTGAGTAGCAGCTGATTGTAGTGGGTGGTTGACTCACTTGTGAATTAGTTGACAAACCAGTATAAGATGATGCACCTTAATTACAAATTAATGCTCTGTAGCAAGTATTAAAAGTTGAAAACATCTCTGAACATCTGTAAGGCTCCACATTCAGCTCTGCTGTTTCAGCACCTGATGAGCAAGACAACCTGTGCTTTGTTATACGTTATCTTGTAATGTGGAGCAGAACTTTTTAGGTAATTTCCTAAAAAACTCAAAGTACTGTGGATGCTGTAAATCAGGGACAAAGACAGAAGTTGCTGGAAAAGCTCAGCAAGTCTGGCAGCATCTGTGAAGAAAAAAAGTTAATTTTTCTGGTCTGGTGACCCTTCCTCAGCAACTTCTGTTTCTTCTTGGGCAACTTCCTGTTTAGTTCGGTTTGTATTGAGACTCTGGGGTCCTGTGGTTTTTGCCATCCTGTGTTCTGTAGTGGACTTTTAAGGAAGTGAATAACGTTGACTTAATCTTCCCCCTCCCCCTGTTTTTACAGAGGATGCGTTCACCGGCTTCGACTGGATGGAGAAGACGGATCTCTTTGACAATTTGTTTATGGGTGAAAATGGCTCTCCCTCCTCAGAGGAGCTGTTGGCTGTCTTGGACAGTTCCTGTGTTCTGGAAGAATTGCCTTTTGATCCTTTGCCAGCTAAACTACAAGTAGCTGACCTTGGCTTGAGTTCTGATCACAGGCCATTTCCAAATTCACCCCCAGGGTCAGATCAGCTGGCACCTAGTACCCCAACCATTACCCCAGAATCTTTAATCTCGACCCCTGATCATTTATTACACTTCCTGGAGAACGAAACTGGAGTTTCAGGTGGTGAGGAATTTACTCAGTCCTGGTCTCTGCAGGACTCCGTCAAAGAGGAGGATGACAGGCTAATGCTGGATTCTGACAGTGGAGTTGGGACTAGTCCCCCACACTCCCCTGCTGAATCTTCTGACAGAAGTATGTCAGAAGGGTCACCACAAACTAGTGGCTTGTCATCAGATGACTCAAGTCCTATTAGGCCAAAACCATATGATCGTCCCAGTACAGAAAATGTAGGCAGTTTGTCAAAAGTAAAAGTCAGCAGTGTGGAGTCAAGAGGTCTGGAGAAAAAGTTGAAGAAGATGGAGCAGAACAAAAGTGCAGCGACACGGTACAGACAAAAGAAGAGAGCAGAGCATGGTGCTATACTTGCAGAATGTAGCTTACTGGAAGAGAAAAATAAAAACTTGCAAGAGAAAGCTGACTCATTAGTGAAAGAAATTCAATATTTAAAAGACTTGATAGAAGAAGTTAGGAAAGCCAAAAGTAGTAGAAGTGCAAAAGGCTTGTAATATAGCATTAGCTATTGTAGATTTGTAAATGTAATTTTTAATAAAATCATTAAATAGAAGTCTTGTTTGTACTTGTCTTATCTTCCCAGGAACAGCATTGGCTGCATTTTTTTTGGAAAATTGAACAATGGGAAATTAGCTGACATGTAGAAAATGGTGGTCTACAATTTTGTGGACCCCACCTCTTCAGCTACATCAATGACTGTATCAGAGCCACTTCGTGCTCCCATGAGTTGCTTGAACAGTTCATCAATTTTACTAACACCTTTCACCCCAACCTTAAGTTCACCTGGACCATCTCTGATGCCTCTCTCTCCTTCCTGGACATCTGTCTCCATCTCTGGTGATCACCTCAAAACTGATAGCTGTTTCAAGCCCACCGATTCCCACCTTCCTGCAAGAATGTGATCCCCCACTCCCAATTCCTCTGCCCTCGTTGTGTCTGTTCCCAAGATGGGGCATTCCACTTCCGAACATCCCAGATGCCTTCTTATTTCAAGGACTGCTATTTCCTCTCTTCAGTGGTCAAAAATGCTCTTGACTGTATCTCTTATGTTTCCCGCACCTCTGTCCTCACATCCCCACCCTGCAACAAAAACACAGAATCCCCCTTGTTCTCATGTATCACCCCATTAACCTTCAGATTCAACGCACCATTCTCTGCCACCTGCAATCTGATCCCGCAACCAAGGGTATATTTCCCTCCACCCTTATCTGCCTTCCATAGGGAGCACTCTGACTCTTGTCCACTCCACACTGCCCACAAGTCCCAGCACCTTTCCCTACAACCGTGGGAAGCGCTACACCTCACCCCTATTCCAGGACCCAAAAAATATTTCCTTGTCAGACCAATGTTCACCTGCTGATCTGCTAATGTGGTCTATTGTATCTGCTGTTGCCAATGCGACCTGCTGTATATCGGTGAGACTGAGCAGAGGCTCGGAGACCAATCTGACAAACGACAACATCTTCCAGTCGCGAACCACTTCAACTCCATTCTTTCCCCCCCCCGCAACCACTTCCTGGACGACATGACTATTCTGGGCCTCCTCCAGTGTCACAACGATGCGACCTGGGAAACTGGAGGAGTAGCACCTTGTATTCTGCCTTGGGTGCCTACAACATAATGGTCTCAATGTGGACTTTACTAGCTTCAAAATCTCCCCACCCCAAGACCAGCACCCTCCCTCATATTCGCCTCCTGGGCTACCTTATTTCCCACCCCACTGACCAACCCCCACTTCCTACCTACTGTCACCTTTAGATTCATGCCCGCCTCCTTGATTTGTTTGTCTGTCTGTCTTCCTTCCCACCTATCTGCCCCTCCCTCCTCATTGACCAACTCCAACCCAAATTGCTACCTACACTCACCTTTACTAACTTCATCCCTGCCTACTTGACCTGTCCATCATCTGTCTCACCTATCTGGCCCAATATCCACCATCTATCACTGCCCCCCCCCCCCCTCCTCTATTTCAGAGCCCCCCTTCCCCATCCCCATTTCTGAAGATGGTTCCAGATCCGAAACAAGAGCTTGCCTGGTCTGCTGTCTTCCTCCAGCTCCACACCTTGATGTCTCAGACTCCAGCATTGGCATTTCCTACTATCTAATCCACTGCTGTCCAGTTTGGTTGCTCAAAGGGATGAGCCAAAGTTAGCAGGACCTATTGTCTTGTATACGTCATGTTCATCTTGCTTTCACGTGCCATAGGAGGGTCTAAAGGCAGACACCAAGCCGTGGGCGATCTTGTGAAGCCATGAAGTTGGGCATCATGCTGGCACAGTAGTATTTAGGGCTATATGAACACTCAAACGCAGGTCCATAAGGCAACCTTTAGAGGGAAAAGTAGAACCCTGGATGTCTAGAACAATTCAGGACTGGATAAAGAAGAGTAGAGCTTTCGGCAAGTCCAAAGAGGGCAATTAAGCTGCAATCCTAGAGGAAGTGCACGAGCGAACTTAAGAAAGCAATTAGAAGAGCAAAATGGGGCATGAGGAAAGGACTTCAGAACAGGATTTGGGAGCATCCTAAGGTATTTTATAAATACATTGAAGGGAAGAAGTTAACCAGGCAAAAAGTAGGGCCCATTAGAGACAAAGAGGGCAATCTGTGTGTGAAGCCACAAGATGTTGGAAGGGTGTTGAATGAATACTTCTCTCTTCATGCTGGAAAAGGAGAACATAAGTATAGAATTCAGGAAAAGGGACTGTGAGGAACTTGCACAATTTGACATAGGAAATGGGGAGGTGTTGGAGGATCTGTCAGACTTAAAAAGACAAATCCCCTGACCTGGATGAATTGCATCCCAGCTGCTGTGGGAGGTGAGGCAGGAAATTTCAGGGGCTCTGACACAAATTTTTAATTCCTGTCTGGTCACAGGGAATGTGTCGAGGGGTGGTAGAGATAAATCGGGAAATGATAGACCATTCAGTCTTACATCAGTGGTAGGGAAACTATCGGATAAAATTCTGAAGGAGTGAATTAATACTGACTTGGAAAGCCATGGCTTAATATGGATAGTCAGCATGGCTTTGTCAGAGGGAGGTCATGCCTAACAAATTTGTTTGAATTTTTCAAAAACGTGATAGAAGTGAGTGGAGGTCGGTGTCCAGTGGTGGACCATGAGGATCAGTATTGGGACATACAGAGAGTGGTGGGTGTGTGAAATGCGCTGCCAGCAGTGGTAGTGGAGTCAGATACTTTAGATACTTTTAAGCGACTCTTGGATAGGCACATGGAGGATAGTAAAATGTAGGGTATGCAGGGTAGATTCATCTTAGTTGGATAATAGGTCGGCACAACATCATGAGCCGAAGGGCCTATACTGTGCTGTACTGTTCTATGTTCTATTTATTATTTGTTATATACGTAAATGTTATAGATGAAAATGTGGGGGTAGGGTTGGGGAATATTAAGCAAATATGCAGATAGCACTAAGATTGGTAGAGTGCCTATTAGTGAAGAAGATGGTTGTTGATTACTTGAAGATAGGTTGATCAGATAGGCAGACCAGTGCCAGATGTTTTAACATTCAGAGGCAACAGGCATCACAACTGATTGAGTCCCATTTGACAGCATTTGGCCCATATCTCTCTAAATGCTTCCCATTCACATACCCATTCAGATGCCTTTTAAATGTCATAATTGTACCAGCCTTCACCCTTCCTCTGGCAGCTTATTCCATACATGCACCACCCTCTACATGAAAAAGTTACCCCTCAGGTTCTTTTTAAATCCTTCCCCTCTTACCTCAAACCTAAGTCCTCTAGTTTTGAACTCCCCCTACCCTAGGAAAAAGACCTTGGCTATACATCCTATCCACGTCCCTCATGATTTTATAAACCTCTATAAGGTCATCCCTCAGCCTCTGATACTCCAACGAAAAAAGCCCCAGTCTTTTCAGCCTCTCCCTATAACTCAAACCCTCCAGTCCCTGGCAACATCCTTGTAAGTCTTTTTTGCACCCTCTCAAGTTTAACAACATCCTTCCTATAGAAGGGTGACCAGAAATGTCTGTAGTACTCCATAAGTGGCCTCACCAATGTCCTGTACAGCCACAATATGACATCCCAACTCCTTTGCTCAATGTCGTGACAAATGAAGGCAAATATGCCAAATGCCTTCTTCACCACCCTGTCTATGTGCGACTCCATTTTCAAGGAACTATGCACCTACACCACTAGGTCCCTTTGCTTGGCGACACTCTGCTTTGGTTTGTCTTACCAAAATGGAACACCTCACATTTATCTAAATTAAACTCCATCTGCCACTCCTTGGCCCATCATCAAGGTCTCATTGTACTCTGAGATAATCTTCTCTGTCCACTAAACCACCAATTTTAGCGTCACCTGCAAACTTACGAATCATATCTCATATATTCATGTCCAAGTCATAGAGTTGTACAACACGGAAACAGACCCTTCTGTCTAACTCATCCACGCTAACCAGATATTCTAAATTAATCTAGTCACATTTTCCAGCATTTGGCCCATATCCCACTAAACTCTTCCTATTCATGTACCCAACCAGGTGCCTTTTAAATGTTGTAATTGTACCAGCCTTCAGCACTTCCTCTGGCAGCTCATTCCATACACAGACCACCCTCTGCATGAAAATGTTGCTCCTTAGGTCCCTTTTAAACATTTTCACTCTTACCTTAAACCATTTATATAAATGACAAAAAGCAGTGGACCCAGCACTGATCCTTGCGGCACACCACTAGTCACAAACCTCCAGTCTGAAAAACAACCCTCCACCACCACCCTATTTTTCCTACCTTCAAGCCAATTATTTTATCTGACTGACTAGCTTCACCTGGATCCCATGTGATATAACCTTGCTAACCAGTCTACTGTGTAGAACCTTGTCAAACACTTTGCTGATGTCAATATCGACAACATCTATTGCTTCACATTTATCAATCTTCTTAGTCACCACTTCAAAAAATTCAATCAAGTTAGTGAGACACGATTTCCCATGCACAAAGCCAAGCTGACTATCCATAATCAATCCTGTCCCTCAGAATCCCTTCCAACCACTGACATCAGTCTCACCGTTCTATAGTTCTCTGGCTTTTCCTTACAGCCTTTCTAAAATCATGGCACCACATTAGCCAACTACCAGTCTTCTGGCACCTCATCCATGCCTGTTGATAATATAAATATCTCAGTAAGCGGCCCAGCAATCTCTTCCCTAGCTTTCCACAGGTCCTGGGGATTAATCTATCTTTAAGCATTTTAAGACCTCCAGCACCACCTCTTCTGTAATATGAACTCTTTTCAAGACACCACTATTTATTTCCCCAAGTCCCCTAGCTTTTATGCCTTTTTCCACAGTAAACACCAACACGCAATATTCATTTAGTATCTCACCCATCTCTTGTGGTTCCACGCATAGACGACCATGTTGATCTTTAAGGGGCCCTATTCTCTCCCTAGTTACTTTTTTGTCTTTAATGTATTTGTAGAACCTCTTTGGATCCTCCTTAACTCTATTTGCTAAAGCTATCTCATATCCCCTTTTTGCCATCCTCATTTCCCTTTTGAGTATACTCCTACT